CTACCCAACTTCAAGACTTAGTATATAGCTACAGTAATAAAGACAGTATGATGTTGGCAAAAACAAAAAAACACAAAAAACAAAAAAAAAACCAGACAAATAGATCAGTGAAACAGAATAGAAAGCCCAGAAATAGGCCCACATAAATATGGCCAACTGATCTTTGACAGAGGACCAAAGACAATATAGTAGAGCAGAGATAATCTTTTCAATAAATGGTACTGGAACAACTGGACATCCACATGCAGAAAAATGAACCTAGTCACAGACCTTAAACTCCCACTCTCAAAAATTAACTCAAAAGATCACAGACCTAAATGTAAAATGCAAAAATTATAGAACCCTTAGGAGACAATATAGGAGAAAACTCAGATGACCTTGAATATGGCAGTGACTTTTTTAGATACAACACCAAAGACATGACCCATAAAATAACTGATAATCTAGTCTTCATTAAAATTAAAAAACATCTGAGCTGCAAAAGGCAATGTCAAGAGAATGAAAAGACAAGGCACAGACTAGGAGAAAAGATTTGCAAAAGACATATCTGATAAAGGACTGTTATCCAAAATATACAAAGGACTCGTGAAAAACTCAACAATAAGAAAACGACCCAATTAAAAACTGGGCCAAAGACCTTAACAGACTCTTCACCAAAGAAGATAAACAGATGGCAAATAGCATATGAAAAAGATGCTCCATATCATATGTCATCAGGCCAATACAAATTAAAACAATGAGATGCCGCTATATACCTACTAGAATGGCCAGAATCCAGAACACACAACACCAAATGCTGGTAAGGATATAGAGCAATAGGAACTCTCATGATGTCCACACACAAACCTGCATGGGACTGTTTATTGCAGATTTATTCATAGTTGCTGAAACTTTGAAGCAACTACACTTTCCTTCAGTTGGTGAATGGATAAATAAATGGGTACATCCAGACAGTTGAATATTACTGAACACTAAAAAGAAATGAGCTATCAAGCCATGAAAAGGTATGGAGGAGCCTTAAATGCATATTAGTAAGAGAAAGAAGCCAATATGAAAAGGCTACATATGGTATGATTCCAACTATATGACATTCTGGAAAAGGCAAAACTATGGAATCAGTAAAAAGATCAGGGACTGGTAGGGGGTGCAGATGAAAAGGTAGAGCACAGAATTTTTAAAGCAGTGAAAATACTGTGATAACATAATGATGACTATATGTCATTATACGTTTGTCCAAACCCATAGAATGTACAGCACTAAGCATGAATCCTAATAAACTATGGACTTCGGGTGGTGATGATGTGTCATTATAGGTTAATCGGTTGTAACAGATGTACCACCCTGGTGACAGATGTTGATAATGAGGGAGGTTATGTATGCATGTGTGGAAAATCTCTACCTTATTTTGCTATGAACCTAAAATTGCTCTAAAAAATTAAATCTCAAAAAAAAAGCCTTTTTTTAGAAAATTGTTTTATTGCCCTGGACTCAAACTAAGAAATTATATAGTCCATAATATCTTAATTTTAAAAATAGTACATTTCTGAAGATTGTCTTCCATGGATTTCTGAAAGAGAAAAACCTTTTTTTCTCTTACAGATTCTGTAAATCCTATAAATTTAAAAAAAAATCTGAAAAAAGGTAAAGGTCCTAAAAATGGGTTGTTTCACCAGAGTCTCCTATTACAATAGAAATTGAAAATTCAAGGTAGTTAAATGTACTATTTATTGAAGAGGGAGGAAATTGAAAAAAATTACTAAAATATGATCAGCATATCATCTATGAATTTCACTTAGTTTTCAACCTGACCCTTCACTGTTTCCAGTAATTTCAAATGAACCAGTATTAGGCTCCCAGTTAAACAGTCAAGTTTGTTACTTATCTCAACCTTTTAAGGAGTTTAATAACCTAGAGATAAAAAAAAAAAACTAGTACCAAGGAGGCCTTATTTATAAAATTATTTGGGGAATGGTACTTACAATAAAAATTGGGATTATTAATCTATGATTTTTTGCTTAAAGTGTTGAAAAGGAAGAAAGCATCTTAAAGCTTTAGTCATCAGTGAAAGCAACTCACTCTTAAGATATTTTAGAAATATTTGACTGAAGATACTGGGGACTCTTCTAAGTCCAAGAAAATTGGTTAGCATATCTGGGGGATAATTTGGACATAAAAATAATCAGAAAGTAGATCATTGGTTGCCTTTGGCTGGAGATGGACTGCAGAAGGGTTTGTGAAAATTTGGGGGAGGTGATGGAAATATTCTAAAGCTGGTCTGTGGTGATGGTAGCACAATTTTGTAAATTTACTCAAAATCATTCAGCTGTACACACTTAAAAGTGGCCAAATTTTATGGTATGTAAATTACTCCTTTAAAAATTGTTTTTAAAAAATCAGCTATATTCTCTCCTATCAAGTAAAAAGCTTCTAAGTTTGTAGAGGAGTGGTCTGTATAAGCTCTTAGACAGGGGTGCCTGAAGTACATGCCTTTGACTTTACTTTTGTAGCACTATCTAAGTTAGCACAAATATAGTGACACCTGTGAATGTATGTTGCATGTACTAATACACACTCCCTGACCACAAGAGATTTCTCTAGAAGTTAGGAGAATTAGAACTAAGATACTGACAGGGGAGGGGGAGAAAAGACCTAGAAAAGTGATTTAGGAGGGATAGTCAATTTTGCAATTTCTTAAAGAAGTTGCTAGGGTTTAGGAGAGAGTGATTGGAATTGCCACCCCAAATTAGGGAATATAGGAGGCTCAGCATGGAGGCAGGAGGGGTGCGTGCTAAATCTGAGGGAGAAAGACTGAGTCTGACAGTCTCCCCTGGTCTCTTGAGAGTAAGTGGAACAAGAACTGGAGCAGGGTTTAGTTCAGATCCCAGTTTAACCAGTTTCTGAAATGTGAGGTCTTTATTTCTTCCTCTACAAAAGTGGGATAATACTTTAGAAATTGTCAAGATTAAATGTGATATGTAAAGTACCAAATGCGATGTCCCATTTGGTGTAGACACTAAATAATTATTAAAGTCTAAGGCAGAGTTCAGTATATTATCTAGGTCCAGCGAAGCCTGATTCAAGTGTTTTGTCTTAGCTTTTTAAACACCCCCCCCCCACCAAAAGTAATGACTTTCCTCCTTAAACAATGGAGTGGCATGCTGATTGATGTCAGGCTCCTGAGTTTGCACGGTGGAAGTTGTACTAGGTTGTGTTCCCAGTTCAGCAAAGCTAAGGCCTAACAAACACCTAGAACCTAATGACCTGTGGAAGTATTTCTATGTTTCAAAAGACCTTAGACAGCAAGTGGTGTTTTGCTTGCTTCTGCTAGATTCCATGGCATTCTAGCTAATCTGCTGGCAGATAAGGACTACAGTTATTTAAATATTTATATATATTATATATTACTCTATAAATGGCAACCACAACTAGGAATAGTAATTCAGTACTGTATTTTTGGTCTTGGTAATGAATCATGTCATTGAACCCAGTAAAAAATTAAAAATAGTCTGACTTAAGCAGGGAAGAGAAAGCATCTCAAATCTATTTAAATCTATTTACAAATAAGGGTTTGCCTGTATCCAGTAGCAAATGGTCACAGCCATGTTGTAATTCTGAACCAAAGATAGAATGATGTAGGCAGAACGTATAGGGAGAGTTCATTATGAAGTTCAGTGCGTTTTTCCCCATAGCATTGTATCTGCAACAGTCAATTCAAAAATATCTAGTTATTCCTGCATTATGGTTGAAATAAATTACAAGGTGAATATTGTATTTAAAAGTTTGGAGGAAAATTGACTTTGAAGTAACAGTTCCCAGAAGTGCAAGTTGGAGGCTAAATGACCACACAGATGCTAGTTTTCAGAGAAACGTAGACTCTGAGGACGATGCCTTAAGAAGTGAAACTGTAACAGCCTTGCTGTTGATTCCTTTCTGTAAATGACTGATAATAAGAAATAGGACCAAAATGAACTACTCACAGGGTCGCTGAATGCTTTATTTATGTAGAGCCAAACTCAGATGTCTTACAGGTGAAATAGTTATGTGGCATAGAATGGAGACCAAGTAAGTGAAGCAACCTTGCAGGGGGAGTTGCAGCTACCACTCAACTCTAGCCAGTTATTGCCATGTGACAGTACATGTCCCGTGTTGCCAGGTCTCCCCGTTGTTTTAAAGAAGCCCCAATACAGGTTCTTAATCTCTCATATTTTAAATGATTCTCAACTGTGTTTTAATTAAAAATAAAAAACTGTGGGCCAGATTAAACATGTCCACCTATGTTTTGGGAGGGAAGGGTTGTTTTGTTTACTACTGCAACCCTATGCCACCAAGTGAATCCAGCCTGCAGGCCTCAGATTTGCAACTTATGACCTTTGTGTAACAAATCTTATGTTCTTAAGCATCTGGGAAAAGTAATGTTACCATCCTAAAGGCTGAAACAATAGCAGTAAGTCTTACCTTTTATTGTCATTTTGCAGAAATGTAATCAGAAAGCTAATTTCTTAAGTCTTGTGTTTTTACCCAGGGTTTATTCATTGACACTCTTGTTGGTGCACTGGTTTTCCTTTTACTAGCTACAGATTGTAATTATGTTCACTATTTGTTTTTCAGTCTTTATTAAACTTCCATATCATAATGTTTAATGAAAGTCATAATTATCTTTGTGATAATGACATTTCTGATGACATTAGAACTGCCTAATGCCTGAGGAAATTGACAGATGTCAGAAGGAATGGAATGTTCTTTTTAATTTGTAATGGAATTTCCCAAAGTTTAAGATGACAGTGGATTCTCATTACACATGGGTTCTAGATTATTTTTTCCTATAGTGGGTAGCTATCAGCTCTGCATGCCATTTTAAAAACACAGTATTAAATAAAGCATAGGAGCTGATCATTACACCAAGGAGTAAATGCTTTTTTAAATGAAAGCTATAGTGTATTCTTGACTGTATCTAGAATTGTTTTTTAAAAAAAATACTGTCTTAGGGGATTAATTGCAATGAATTTAAGAAGTTGCATATATTGACTCTTCCTAACTTTTTAAGTATTGAAGTATTATCCTTGTTTCAGAAGTTGGATTCAGAGCTTTTTTTTTTAATGTTTCAGGAACTTCTGTGATTTGTTGAATCAGTAGGATTTCTTAAATGTAGTAAGTTACATAATAACAGCTCATCTTTCCCTTCTCTGTTCTTGTTTTCCTCTCTTTATGCCAAGCCTAGACCATCTTGTGTGCCCTCTTAGAGGAGGCAGTGTAGAGTAATGGGAAAATTTTGGCTTTGACTTGGGTGAGCTGTATTCCAGTCACAATTTTCTGTACTTGAAAGCTGTGTAAACTTTGACAAGTTAGTAATCTTGGATAATCTGTGAAATGAGGGCGATAACATCACAAAGTTGTTGTGATGGTTTTGGAGAAAGTAAAGCACAGTACTCCACAGAGTCAAACTCACTGTTAGTGCCATCACCCCTACATGGTTGTCAATGCACCTGATGACCAGAGAACCAGGCACTCTGTGCTCTCAGACTAGGCTACCCTCTTGTTTTCTGATTGCCCCTTTTTCTACTCTTACCTGATCGTCCCACTCTTGCCCCACAAGTCTTTTCTCAGAGTACACATACTCAGAATGTATACCTAACTAACCCTTGTGCTAACTTTTTCTCACCTCTCTGCCTGTGCTACTTATCATTCAGCTTGATATTCCTCTGTCTACCTGTTTTTTTCATACCAATCAAAAGAGAAGTGATACCATTCCTTGGCCTTGCCTAAGCATATTTACTTCCTTGACTCACTGCTTCTAAAATGTTCTTAGCTTGGGTATGCTTGTTTGTTCAGTGTGTGAACTTTGAATCCTTTTATTCAGTCAGGTATGTTTTATGTTAAGTATAAAGAGATCACATATAAATGGTTCTCTGTGACACTACCAAGTAGACACTAACAAATTTTTTTTAATCATAATGCATTTCTTGTCCTTTTCCATTTGCTCCTAGGTTTTTAGAACTTCAGCTATAAAAAATGGGTAGGATTTTCCTCGATCATATCGGTGGTACCCGCCTGTTTTCCTGCGCAAACTGTGATACGATCCTGACCAACCGCTCAGAGCTCATCTCCACTCGGTTCACAGGCGCCACTGGCAGAGCATTTCTTTTTAACAAGGTTGGTAGGAAAAACCAGTTTGATTTCCTAAGTGGGTCAGTGGGTATATTTGATAATAGTATTCTCAGAGCATGGAAATGTCAGGAAAAGTCAGAATGAGAGATGCCATTTATAGAAATGATTGCCCACCAGCTTGTCTTTGATGGGACCTTAGGATTACTAGAATGTGATTTTTAACCTTGAGAGTTTAAATGTTGTGTTATAATAAGAAGGGTGGTCTCCATTGTTCCAGAAAACATTCAGAATTTGGTAGTGACTTCACAGACTATTGAAGGGGCTGAGACACACCCCCCCATATTGCCAATTTATCCTTATAGGGAGATAGCTGCATTAAGCTATCATAGCTTGACAATGCAAGTGAATAAAGATCATCTAACCAATTTCCCTTGTTCTAATTTATGCTTACCAGTCATCCTTCTGATTATGATTTGGCTAATAGGTTTGCCAACAGGAAGAACATTTCCTCACTTACGGATAAATGCATTCTGTAATTTCTGTCTTGCTTTGAAATTAGTTGATGTAATTCTACCTCCTGGAGTCTAATGTGTACCAGCAAAGTTGAATTTCCAAATATCTTAGGCTAAGGAACAAAACTAATTCAAGGTACTATTCTTAGAAGTTCAACCAAACCTCCCGGTGGACACCCCTCTGTTCTTGTTAGAAGTGAGTATTTTCTCTTAGAATTGATATTGTATAGCTCTTGGTCTGTCTTTAGTTATAGAGCAGGGGTTGGCGCACCATGGCAGGCCGGCTGCCTGTTTTTGGAAATAAAGTTTAATGAAGCACAGCCATGTGTCTTCATTTATGTATTGTCTGTGGTGGCTTTCGTGCTACATCAGCAGAGCTAAATAGCTATAATAAAGACCATATAGCCCTCAAAGCCAAAAATGTTTACTACCTGGCTCTTTACAGAAAAGTAAAGTGTGGAGGATTGTTGCTGTTCAGAATTGTCGGAAATGTTTCACAGATTCTTTGAACCCACTTGAAAACTATGTATTGCAATCTATTTTTGTCTGTTTGTAGGTGAAATGTATTTTCAGAAACAAATTTGGCAAACTTCTTTTTATGGAATACCTGTTGTGTACTAGGTTCTTTTACACTGGTAGCCTTATTTGTACTCATCATTGAATGCTGAATGATAACAGTTGGACCCAGACTTACATTTTGTGACTCCAAGTTAAGGACGCTTCACTACAGCACAGAAATGTAACTAGTATCTATAAATAGTGTGACTTAGACTAGTATGATAATGAATGATTGCATTAGATGTCCAGTCCAGTCCAGTCCAGATATTTACCTGTCCCAGCAGTTTGTAAAAATAGCCCTTGGGAAGTATATTGTAGGTTTGACTAAAATAACAACTGCTATTTGCCTTTCTGAAGTTGCTATTATGTCACCAGCCAAAATACTGTGTACCATTTTTAGCAGATAACTTACATGCCTTTGCAATTTTGTTTTACATGTCTTAGGTAGTTAACCTGCAGTACAGTGAAGTTCAAGACCGGGTTATGCTCACTGGCCGCCACATGGTTCGAGATGTGAGCTGCAAAAACTGCAATAGCAAACTGGGATGGATCTATGAGTTTGCCACTGAAGACAGCCAGCGTTATAAGGAAGGCCGTGTGATCCTGGAACGTGCTCTAGTTCGAGAAAGTGAGGGTTTTGAGGAGCATGTACCATCTGATAACTCTTGAAGAAAAAGAGATAAATTCATCTTTTCCCAGGTCTCCTTCACTGAAAACAAAAATCTACTTACATACACTGTCACCTTAGCATCAGAGTCGGATTCATGAACTGCAGAACAAGAGGTTGTGAGAATCTATGATGGAACTTTTCTTTCCTTCTATTTTTTTTTAATTTTCTATTTTCCATCCAACAGCAGTGTGTAGAAAGAATATTATGCAGATGCCATTAATTTTTTCCCCCTATGTTTACATCTTGAGAGAGAATAGTCTACCTGCAGCTACGTGGTAGGCTATGTGAGGGAAAAAATCTGGGCTATTACAGTGAAAGTGTCTTATGTAAATTTTGAAAGGAAAATGTGTCAAGAGCATGGTTTTTAAATTTATTTGGGCTTCGTTTTAAACTTTTTTTAAAACCCAGTTATTTCACTTGATTTGCTAGTTTCAGAGAAGAGATCCGAATTTGTGACCAGCGCTAAAGGTTCAGTGTTAGTATGGCTTGTGCTGGCCATTGTGCCATATTCTTGTTGGAGATGAACCGTAGCACCAGAGCCCATTCTTCCTTGTCAGTCTTGACCCAAAGATGTCACCATTCCTAGTTATTTGTCACCACATAATTGGTGTTGATTGGAAGCTTTTCCTGATATGGGACAGAACTGCTTGGTTGTCTTTTCCATGTAACTTAAGCATAGTAATATAAATAAAGTAATAGTTGGATGTTTTTGGTCCTGTGTTGCTTTTAAAATCACCTTTTAAAAGAGCAGAGTATTTGATATGTAATTTTCATAGTGTTTCTTTTCATCTCTTAAGCTAAATTGACTGTGTATAAGATAATGCTTTGTTTAAATTAAAGCATACTGTTTAAACCCACAGTATTGCATTTAGAAAACAGTTTGAACAGAATGTCAGTGTGCATTCATGCAGAAGCGTCTCATCTGCATCTGTTTTAAAAGGAGGGAAATGAAGCAGCTTATCTGAAAATTATGCTTTGCAAAGTGTTGCAGCTTGCCCTCCTCAGTTTTGCATTATTTTGACAAGCCTATAGGGCCTGATCGTTACCATTTAAAGGACTAGAAATCTCTTGGCATTATTTTCTTAGAGCATCCCTCAGAAGTTCAGCTGTTGAAATCAAAACTTAACTTGGTCCCTTCAAGTGGAAAGGGAGCAGATTTGACTCAGGGGGTTACTTTAGCCCAAAATTTACAACAGTATGAAGTATTAAAATGTAAATGTCTCTTTATCCAAACTATTTCTAGATAATCTAGTATTTGTTTCTGGTGAAATAAATGGCATTAAAGTTGGCTAAATACTTACATGAATGAATAGATGTTTGCCCAATTTCTAGGTCTTTGTCTAGAGATGAAATTTGCCTCAAATTAGCAAAATCTTTCTGTCATTGATATTAGAAGTGACTTCCGAGTACAGTTAGGATTAATTTTCTCTTAATTGCTTTTGGGCTCTTGGTTAGAGGCATAGGTCATTTGGTAGGTGTATAATATTGTATTTGAGATACGTGGACACAAATTCTTCTCTTTCCTTCACCATAGACTTAATCTACAAGCATTAAGAAACAACATTCATTCCCATTCATTTCCATACCAGCCTTTGATTATATGCAGATTCCTAGTAGCATGCCTTACTTACAGCACTATGTGCATTTGCTGTCACAATAAAGTATATTTTGTCTTGCATTGGTGCAAAACTGCTACTTATTTTCCATTGATCCTTGTCTAGTAATCATCTTTGCTTTTGCCTAGGAGCATGTACATACTACCTTTGAGAAGCTATAGCTCTTTTTCAATTGGCAGTGTTAAGGTGGCATTCTGATTTAGTTACCTCTACCTAACTTATGCCTGGATATTGAGTTTACCAATATTAACTTTTCTGAGATGATTTTTGCTTCAGACACTGACAACTATAGTTTAGTATATATGAACAAATAAAATGTCATATCATTAGGTTAACTTTTAGGTGGCTGTGGCAAGTACCATAGCAGTGAGTTCCTCTATGCCTTCCTCCTGAAAACTTATATTTGCAAAAAAACAAAAACAATAGCAATATGGAGGATTGAGTCAGATTGGATTAGTTACAGAAAAGCAAATACACGCTGTTCGCTTGAGATGGGAAACCACTAATGGGAATGATTTTGTTTTGGGATGGGAAGGTTAACCAAATACAGGTGAATGTATTGTATAGTGACTAGGTTATTGAGGTATGTAGTTATTCCCTTTGAAATTTTAGAATCCTTCCTTGTAAGTTTTAGGTGACAGTGACCATAAGTAGTTTTGATCTTAAACAACATAAGTGCTTTTACTTAAAGAGACTGTCCTAAAATGAATATTCTGGGTTAAAAACTTGTTAGTAATTACGTAATGACTTAAGTTACAGTTGTGAGTGACTGGAAGAGAAAGATAGTACCATAACTAAATTGACATATTCATAGAAGTCATTTGGGATGTTTAAATGCAGAGCCTGGGCCCAAGGTAATTTTTGATCAAGCAGGATTTGGAAACTACCAATTATAAAATATTCAGAGACATATTTATGGGGTTCATTTTCACAAGTTAAAAATACCTCACAGTTTAAGCAGATCCACTAATTGCATGTCTTTTTTTAACACTGGCTTCCCACTAGGAGCTATGTAAAACCAAAGCTCTCTAATCTAGGGAAGGTGTGAATTGGGAATAGAGCAAGATTAAACTGAAAAACTCCTGTTAGGTAGCACTTTGAAATGATACGAAGATAAGCTATTATAGAAGTAAAGCAGACCTAAGAGGAGAAATTAGCATGGATACTCATCCTAAATAGTATGTCAGTTGTATGGCTTTTTTATTTTAAAATGTTGGTATTTTCCAAATTGGAACTTTTATATTAAGACATAAAATACACATTTCAAAGCACCATTAAGGGTTTGGTGATACTGGGCATCACTGTATATATTGAGTTTTTTTTTTTAATCATCTGCAATTTATGTTCTAGGGCAGTCTACCCAGGCAATAGAAATTAAAAGCAAAAACAAACCTAATTAAACTTACAAGCTTTTGCACAGCAAAGGAACCCATAAGCAAACAAAAAGGCAACCTACAGAATGGGAGAAGATATTTGCAAAAGATGAGACAGGGGCTTAATTTCCAGAATATATAAACAGCTCATACAACTTAATAAGAAAAAAATGAACAACCCAATCCAAAAATGGGCAGAAGACCTAAACAAGCAATTCTCCAAGGAAGACATACAAATGGCCAATAGGCACTTGAAAATGTTCAATATCACTACCAGACAAATGCAAATCAAAACTACAATGAGGTATCACCTTACACCAGTCAGAATGGCCATCATTCAAAAGTCCACAGACAATAAATGCTGGAGAGGCTGTGGAGAAAATGGAACCCTCCTACACTGTTGGTGGGAACGTAGTTTGGTGCAGCCTATAGAAAACAGTATGGAAATTAGTCAAAAGATTAAAAATAGATTTACCATATGATCCAGCAATCCCACTCCTGGGCATATATCCAGAGGGAACCTTAAATCAAAAAGATATATACACCCCAATGTTCATAGCACTACAATAGCCAAGACATGGAAACAATCTAAATATCCATCAGCAGATGACTGGATAAAGAAGCTGGTATATTTATACAGTGGAATACGACTCAGCCATAAGAAATAATAAAATAATGCCATTTGCAACAACATGGATGGACCTAGAGATTGTCATTCTAAGTGAAGTCAGCCAGAAAGAGAAAGAAAAATACCATATGATATCACTTATGTGAATCTAAAAAATCTAAAAAAAGACAAATGAACTTACTTACAAAACAGAAACAGACTCACAGACATAGAAAACAAACTTACGGTTACCAGAAGGGGAAGGGGATGGAAAGGGATAAATTGGGAGTTTGAGATTTACAGATACTAATATATATAAAACAGATGAACAGTTAAGTTCACACTGTATAGCACAGGGAACTATATTCAATATCTTGTAGTAACATGATGAAAAAGAGTATGAAAATGAATATATTATTGTTCATGTATGACTGAAGCATTATACTGTACACCAGAAATTGACACATTGTAAACTGACTATATACTTCAATAATATATATATATATATATATATGAAAAAAAATTTTTTAAATCATCTGCAATTTGACCATTTGGGAGGTTTGTTAAACAGTGAATTATGCCTCCATTCCCTCCCACAACACTGAATTGGTCTCTGAGGTGGGACCAGGAAATCAAATTTTTTACCAAACTGCAAAGATAACATATCTGCTAGTACTTGAGAATCACTATTCAAAGGGTTGTTCAGAACCAAAATAATGTATAGTTGTGGTGTGTTATCACCTGGTAAAAGCAGGTATTTATCACAGGAGGCCCACAGGCTTAGAATTGTGAATAAGAAAAAACAGATTAATGTAATTTCCACCTGCTTTTTAAAAAGTGACTTTTGAAAGGTTAAGTACAATAATCAGATAAACTGACATTTAAGGAGAGGAAAATCTCTGGGAAAGTTCCTAGAAAGACCACTAGACATTAAAGACCTGTCTTCAATGCTGACACTGATTTATTGGCTATGTGACTTTGGAAAGTATGTGATTAACCTCTGAACCTTAGTTTTCTCAAGTATGAATTACGAAAACAAGCCCTGTCTTAAATGATATTTGGTTAGAATATAGTGAAATATAGAGTCTAAAAATCTGTTAAGTGTCATGCAAATGTTTGAAATAACTACTCTTTTTTCAGTAATCCTGAACAACTCTTCACAATTTAATTTTGCTTTAAATCAAAGAATGACCAGAATGCTTTCAAAGTTTTATAGATCCTTCCTGGTCTTGATATGCAGTGCTGAATCTTTAAGCGTTTAGAGCATGAAATCTGCTGTTTATCAAATGTTGTTTGTCTTGACCTTTCATCATAAGAAATCTTTCATAATCCGCTATATAGACATTTTACTTTCCTTTCAAAAATGTGCAAAGCTCCATTTTTCTCCTACCATGGAGCAGAAGGAAGAAAAGGTTTAAAAAGTTCATTGACTACAACCTCAATGATAAAGTAAAGAAAGAAAGGAAAAAGCCTCCATTTTTACCCTTAGACAGGCAGGGCTACTTTTGAGAAGAATCCTGCAAGAATTTCCACTAAAATTCCACTAGTTACTTTTCATACCCAATTTTCTGTCTCTCATGTTTGCCTCAGCGTATTTCACATTACTGCTATAATAGTGTTAGTCCAGTTTTTCAAGAATCCTAAGGTTATGAGAAACAGTTTATATACCATATCATCTCGTTTTAACCCTCTGCCAATTTGCCCTAAATATGAACAAATCACCTCTTGTCCCTGGATTTAAAGCAAAGTACAAAGACAAATTTCATCTAATAATTAAAAAAACTTGCATCCAGAGCAAAGCCCAGCTTTGAAAAGGAGATATTTGTTTGAAAAAAGGAAGATTGACCACAGGTTTTCCGGGGTCGGTGCAGTTTGACTGACTCCACTGGTGTGCCCCTGTGTTACAAACTTGGCTTCACCTGTCCTCCCCGAGGGTCATTCCTCTTCCACCAACTGTTTGGGCTCCGTGGAGTGAGCTGTCAGCCTCTGGCACACCACCTTCTCAGCTAACCCGCTCTCTTCCTGTAGCCCTCTCAGAAAATAGTGGCAAAAAGTGGAGGCAGTATTGTGAAGGCATGAAAATTCGTGAGTTTTCTCTGTCACAGGCTAAGCCACCTCCCTTCCCCCAGCTTCTAAGCCAACTGGAAGGTGCTCAGAGGCATTTCTGAAATCTACCAGCATGACGAAAGGAATAGGAAGTATTTCCATCCCTTTCCTAAGAAAGTCTGAGACCCTGTTTCAGAGTTGGCTCCTTAGAAAACGAGTTTCACAGGTTAGGGGGAAGGGTGTTTTTAAGGACTTGAGTAACATGGAGTAAAACAGGTCTCACTGAAGGAAAAATGTTAGTATAAAATCAGCTGAAACCCACGCTACCAGAAAAGCACCGGTAGGTGGCAGGAGTACACAGGACATTCAGGTCTTTAGGGCTAGTCTGACCTGTCTTGGAAAAGAGTAACATCTGGAGCTGTCTGTTGCTGTTGTTAGCAGTGAGCTAACTTGAAGTGAGACTAAATGATTTTACGCCAGTGGGGTAGAATTGTTGTGGGGGGTCAAATGAAAATAGACGTGAGAATATGCCTTTGAAACTTTGAAGCACTAGACAAGAATAATACTGTTTCTAGTTTTTTGTGGTGATTTTTTCCTCCCGTGTTTGTTTTAGTATCTAAAGCTTTAGCTTACATAACTTCAATTTTTTTCAATAGCTATTTTTTAATATTGGCTTTTATTTTGATCATGACAACCTAAGGTCACAGGGGCGTCAGTGTGACTCTGATGTTAGTTAACCTCTTGAAACCTAATTTCCTCAACTTGAAAATACAGAAATTGACTTCTAGAGAACATGTGACAACTATACACAGTATTTTTTAAATAAATTCCTATAAACTGAGTGAGGCTGAATGAATTACTTAACTAGCATAAGTTCCAGTTGCTAGAAAGTATTTGCTTGTCTATATTCCCATATTCAGCGATATGAGTTCCTGCTACGTGTGTCAGGACAGCACGCTATTTGCAAGTCAGCAACACCTGGCACCTCCTTCCCAGCCGCCGGACGAAGGATGTTTGCAAAGCCCAGGAAAAGTCC